AAAGAATTTGGTTGCCATTTCCATGGTCTGTCCTGAGCCCTTTTCTTTCTCACTGTAGACATCCTCTCTGGAAGAACTCATCCACTTCTAGGACCTCAATCACTATGCACTGATAGGTCCCAAACATACATCTCAAGCCCACTCTTCTCTCTTGAGCTTTCTAGATTCATGAGGTACTCTGCCTCCACTTATTCCACAGGCACCTCTAATTTCAACATGTCAAAAGGAGCACTCTTTATTTGACACCCTGCTTTTTTCCCATGTTCTCTCTTGCAGTGAATGGTGATACTATCCATCTGGTTGCTCAGTCCTGGAAAGCAGTTGTTGTCCTTGACTAATCCCTCCCTCTCACCCACCACTTCTAAATGATCACCAATTCCTGTTCAGTATGTTTCTCAAACAGATTATAAATCTGTCCACTCCTCTCTGTTCTCACTACCACTACCAAAATTCACCCAGTGCAGTACATTATTGCACCGTCTTTTTAACAGGTCCTCTCTTCTAGCAGGTACCTCACGACTCCATTCTACTTCTTGCTGCCAAAGTAAGCTTTCTGAAATTTAAATCTGATTCTATCACTGCCTTGTGAAAACTACCACGGGCTCCTGAATTCTCTTAGGGTAAAATCAAAACTGTTTGCCATGACTTTTAAGTTTTTTCGTGGTTATTGCCTCTCAGTATCTAATCCACTAGCCTCTCTTCATTTCCTCTCAAAACATACTTTTCAAAACATACTTTTGCCTGGGCATCTGATTTTTTATTTCAGTCCCCAATTCCTATTCTCTCTTGCCTCCTGGCTTTGTATTTGACAGTCCCTCTGCCTGGAATACTCTTCCTCTTTGCAGATATTCCTTCATAAACCTCTGTTTTTCATTTGTGTCTCAGCTAAAATATCCCTTCTCCTGGGAAGCCTTCCTTCACTCTTAAATTTGAGTTAGTTTTCCTTTCTATGTAGTCCTGTCATCAATGTCCCCAAGAATTGTCTTTATCATATTGCACATGGCTGTTCATTTCCTTTACCCAACCAAACCTGTTACAGGGTGGAAACCCCAGGTTCCTGCTTGGCATGATTCGTGTTGGCCAATAAACATGAGACCAAAGTGCGAGAACAGGAAAGACACCTTTATTTCGTTGTACAAGGAAATGGAGTCAGTCGGAGCTGCTGCTGCCAAGACTGCTCCCCAAGGGCGGGCAGGCAAGTTACTTTTAAGGGGTTTTCAAGTAGGGAGTTCATACAAGTTGTGTCAGCAACATTCTTAATCATACTACGCAGGTGCAATGGGGTTTACATGTAACCTCCAGGCAGGATTCAAATGCAAAGCCTGGGTGGGGAGGAAGTCTAGCAAAGGAAATAGGACCTCTAGTATAACACTGTGAGGGAGGAAGCCAAGCAAATAAGATTCCCAATACAGCACTGTGGGAACTCTGTCTCAAACCCACTGTCGTCCAGTCGATTCCGCCTCATAGCAACCCCATAAGGTTTCCAAGGCTGTAAATCTCTATGGAAGCAGACTGCCACCTCTTTCTCTCGAAGAGCCGCTGGTGGTTTCTAACTGCTGACCTTTTGGTTAGCTGTTGATCACTTTAACCACTGCATCACCAGTGCTCCTTACATTTCCTATATCCTCTATCATAACTGTAAGACCCATGAGGGCTTGTCTACTGGTATTGTCAGCACAAAACACAGTGTTTGGTACATATTAGGGTCTTTATAAATATTTGATAAAAGAATGGGTGAAAGTGCCATACTAGCAAATGAAAATCCATATTCAAAAGTCAAGTTTTTATTTGTTCTAAGACTGTTCTCTAAGCAACTGCATTCTGTTGCCTTCGTCTCAAAAAATTATTAGAGTTTGGAGTAGAAGGCCAGAAAATTTTAAAATAGAGCGGAGAGGGGCCAGCTATGCAGAGGACAAACTCAGGCAAAGCATCATTTCTAATAGAAAAAGCTGAAAAATCTGCGCCCTTTGGTGGTGAAAGTTAAGATTTATTACCATAGGATATCAGACCTCACAAGATTTGGCTATTCTGTGAGCCAAGCCAGTATAAAGCAAGGCTTAGCTGTGTTGTTCCATTTCAAAAGAAAAGATCCGCAGAAAATTGAAGTTGAAATAAAATATTTTTAATAAAAAATTTACAATTGATTCATTAATGCAGAACTACCCTAGAAGGGATATTTTTTCTCCCTTACCTTCAAAAAAATGGAATGCTTTTGTTTAACATTAAGCTCTTGAAATATTCTAGTAACTCTTTGCAGTTGCTCATTTAAAAGTGTAGCAGCCTGGAGCGAAGACTTTCAGTTCCGCATGTGGTAAAAGCAGGCTTTCAAAACACACTTTCTGTCCTTTCAGCCAGCAGAACTGTGATTCAATGCCTCTTTTCCTTTTTCTATTTTTTTTTTCCATTGAGAGTTAAAAAGAACAAACAAAAAAAAGCCTTTAGCCCCAGAGAATCGTGAGGGCACTTGGTAGTCAATGCTTCTATTTGATAGTAGGTACATTGTTATTTAAGATCACTTACTTACAGTAATTATAATGAAGTATTACAGAGGCCCCCCACCCCATCCACAGGGTGCATAGGCAACCAGCATTCTCTGATACTCTGATTCAGCTCACCTAAGAACCACTAAATGTTCACCAAGGAAAACATTTCATCGTGAATATGTATTTATTACATTCATTACAGATCACGGTGGTAGAGTTGGGAATAATGGATTGGTTTCTTTCGGTCTTCAAAAAAAAAAAAAAAACACAATGAAAAGGTCACTCTGTCTTTGACCTAGGCCTAAACCTGATTTGTGTCCAGTTCCCCAACCTGGAAATATATTTTTTCATAGAAGTAAAGAGACGCACAGTAGAAATACTATACTAAGTCTAACCTGGAATATACATTTCTCACTAATGGGAAACGGAATCATAAGGTTACATGAGGCTAAATTTAAAAATAGTCATTTGAAACATGACACTAAAGTAACCCGTCCAAAAACAGAATTGCAGAATTACACAACTGGTGAGCTCGGTGGACTAAACTTTGCTTTGTGATAGGTTGTCATGGTGTTGGAAAGGCTGGGCTGGTCCAGGGGAGGACTGGGGGTCAAGAACTCATTCTGTGGTTCATCAAGATTCGGATTTGCTACCACCTCGAAGGCTACATCTGCCCAGTTAACTGTTGGCAAGATTAATTGGAAGATTGGTTTAATGTACCTCTTAATTTAAAAAGCAAAACGAAACAGAATTTCAAAACTCTTAGGGATCATTATGGTGGCTCAGTGGTTAAGAGCTCGGCTGTTAACCAAAAAGGTCGGCAGTTCGAATCTACCAGCTGCTTCTTGGAAACCCTGTGGGGCAGTTATACTCTGTCCTACAGGGGCACTATGAGTTGGAATCAACTTGATGGCAACAGGTTTTAGGGATCATTATATTTGTATTTTTCAGTAAGGATTTTTAAAAAATGTTACAGACTTAGTGTTTTATCTGAAAAAATTAAGTAATTCAATGATTAGGCCTATCCTGTCATTTGTAGTAATACTTCTCAAGCTGTAGTGTAAGGAGGAAGTGTACAGGTTGTTAAAAATCCAGACTTTTTGCCTGCCTACCCCTCCATGCCATCTATGAGGTTCTGGTTCTCTGGTTGTTGTGTGCCATCAAGTCGATTTCAACTCGTAGTGTCCCCATGTGACAGAGTAGAACTGCTCCTATAGGGCTTTCTAGGCTGTAATCTTTATAGGAGCAGATCGCCAGATCTTTCTCTCATGGAGCCACTAGGTGGGTTTGAACTGGAAACCTTTTGGTTAGCAGCTGAGTGCTTAACCGTTGCACCACCAGCACTCATGGATTCTCTGGTAGGACCCAGGAATCTGCATTTTTACAGGATTCCAGGTGGTCTCTGGGTTATCTGACTTTTAAAAAATGCTCTAAATGAGACTTGAAGAGTCAATCCTGCTGAATAACACTTTTTTCTACTCAAAGACAAACTCAACTATGTTCAGTAGAGTGTTTTTTGGTAGAAACAGACTATAGGAGTTTTGTGATCCTGGAAAAGTTCCTTCCTCCTTAGACCTCAGTTTCCCCATTGTGAAGGAGACAGTAGTATTCAGCACTTCCAGTCATTGGGAGGCTCACCGAGATCACTGACAAACCAGCTCCTGGCACAGTGAGGGTGCTTTCCTCTCCCTACTGTCCACTCATTCCTCTATATTTGCTGGTTTGTGCCTTGGAACAAACTCTTACTTTTGCCTGTTGTTAATGTGTTTCTTCCATTTACGCTTATTTAGATTATATGTGTTATTCAAAGCCTGGCTCAAATGCTACTAAAACTTCTCATACCTCCAAATGAAAGGAATCTCTTCTTACCCAAACCCCCATACATCTTAAGCTGCACCTCTTACTGCATTTACTTTGCTCTACGGTGCAGTATACTTATGCTTATGTCTGTACATCTTATCTCTTTTATTAGACTCCCTACAATAAGTAGACTGGGTTTGGTTTAAAAAATGCTATTTGTTTAAAGAGTAAAGAAATAAATATAGTTTGTTGGACTGTAATAACACTTCTGATATCCACATGTAAGCATTCTTTCAATCGATATATATTTATTAAACATCTAGTATTTGTCTTTTAATCTGCTAGGTCCTGTATATGTCTGGCACTATGAAGGGAAAACATAATTAACTATGTGTTGAGCTCTTTTTTGGTGGTGTGAATATCTTTTTGGTATGACCAGTGCTTGTTAAATATCTTGTCTAGTGAATAAATGAACACCTAAGTGCCTAAAACTGCATAGACTTATATTTCCTCAGGGCATATACGTCTGCATTCTATGTACTACAAAGATATAATGGATTATTTACCATTTTGCACCTTGTTCTTTCTGATTTGAATATATGTATATGCATGCGCAGATACACATGCACAAGGATTTGGGCAAGGTTTTAAAATTGAAAGACCAATGTACAAAGTTGAAATGATTTGGTTCTCTTCTGTTTCTTCTTACCATTTCAGATGATGGAAAGTTGTCCTTTGAGGAATTCAAAGCATATTTTGCAGATGGAGTGCTGAGTGGAGAAGAATTACATGAGCTCTTCCATACCATCGATACACATAATACCAAGTAGGAACTTCTTTATCATTGGATTATATAAATGAGGTAGAGAGAGAGAGCATATACGAGTGCATATGCCTGAAAGAGAAAAGGAGGAAAGATACAGAGTTCTTGTAATGCTCAGCTGTATTTAGTTCTGAGACACTATCTCTAATAATTGAAATGCTCTGAAAAACTGAATTTTGAATTGGAAAACAATGATCTGTTTCTCCTAAGGTAGTTTTAAACTGTGCCTTTCTGCAGAACGTAAAACAAAATCATAGATTGTAAATAATTCAAATTCCATCCTTAATAAGAAAGTAGAACGTTTACTTGTTACTTAGGCTTCATATGAATTTGCTTCGTTTAACAATTGTCCTTAGGCCATTCTTATGTTGCTGTTATTAGGTGCCATTGAATTGGTTCTGATTCATAGCGACCCTACGTACAACAGAACGAAATATATATTCTTATATTAGCAGAATGTAATGGAGAGTTACAGCAGTTTTCTGGATAATTCAGATGTGCTGAACTTCAAATCACTGTACGTGAGAGATACAAGTAATGCAGAAGGACACACAATTTTTCTCTGAATAATCAGTGTATACAGCAATCTATTTTATTTATTTTACCTACATAAATCTATCTTTTGCATTAATATAGCATTTACAATGACTCTATTTATATTCTCATGTGCTTGAAAATGTAAAATAATGAGATATTTAGAATTAGAACAACAGAAATGTGCTACTTGATTTGGGTAATTGAGCCAAATCACATTATTTGTCACAGTTGTGGTTACAGAAAATATGATGTGAAAGCATCATTGCAACCGTGTTGTAAAACACATCTGGGAGTCCGCTGCTGGGAACAGTTGCTATCTTGCTTTAGGCAAAGTGTTGCAGTGTTTCAGGCAGTGAGTCATCATGCCAAGTACATGCTCTTGGGCTATGTTGATGCACAGACATTTTGTTAAGGCAAACTAATAAGAAAAATTAGAAGATTAAATTTACTTTACTCAAGCAGCTGAATATTTTGAAAACAATCAGTTTGTAAGTTTCTTGACCTCCACTGGAATTTCAGATTCCATTTGAAATGGCTTAGGTTTTTGGTTGTCAGAGTGTTGGCGAGTAACTGGATCAGAAGTTCCATTCTTTTCAACAAATATAGCATAATATCAAGTCCATAGAAGGTATTGATGGTTTAACATAGAACCTGCTTGTAGTTTAATGGAGAAATAGACCTACTCACTGATAAGTTCAGTACAGTATCATACATGCTGTGGTTGAGATATGTACGTAACACTCTGGAATCACAAGAGAGGGAATCTTCACTCAGTTTGGTGGGTTCAAGGAATGTTCTCAGGATTATGTGGCCAGGAGCTAAGTCTTAATGGGAGAGTAGAAAGGGATAGAATATTCCAATTAGAGGGAACAGTAAGAGAAAAAGCCTGAAGGTACAGTGTACCATGAGTGAATGAGAGTGACAAATATTTTCATGTGACCAAAGTGTCAACTGTAAGTGGGGAGTAGGAGGGATGAAACCGGAGAAGAAAAATGGGCCAAACAGGAAGGAATTTGCATTTGGAGATTTCAAAATTACCTCAACTTCGCCCTGTAGGCCAGTGAAAGTTATTAAAGAACTTGAGGCAGGAAATGACAGCTTTGTAGGTCATTGTCGCTCCTATGCATTAGTAACAACGATACGTGTCTTCTGATCATAATGCTATTCAACTTAATTTGGAGCTAAAGATAGAAACTTCTCAACTATATTCATAAAATTCCTGTCTAAAAAAAATAAAAAGAATGTCAATGGTCAATGGATTAACAAAGAGTAATCCAATCATTGGAAGAGAAATTTTCAAGCTATATTTCAATATTCAAATATTTTATATTTATATGATCCAAATTTTAATTATTTTAGTGATTGTCACTATGTATGCCAATTAATTTTTCCCCTTCCACGCACCTTCTAAGAACATCTGCTCTTCTCCCAAATCCTGCCATGGCCCAACATCCCCAATCCTTTTAGTTCAGTCATGGGTAGAAGTGTGATTACAGGAGCCAATCCATAGCCTGGACTAAGCCTGTCAGACTCACTGTCTTCCATTAACAGCTGACCATGAGAGTCAGAGTCTACAGACATCTCCTGAGGAGGCCCCTAGGGCTGCTTGGAAACCTGGCCGTTCAACCTCATCTTGGATTCCATTAAATCAAAAAAACAGTTGCCATTGAGTCGATTCCAACTCATGGCGACCCCGTATGTGTCAGAGGAGAACATGCTCCACAGGGTTTTCAGTGGCTGATTTTTCAGAAGTAGATTGCCTTTCTTCCAAGGTGCCTCTGGATGGACTAGCCAAACTTTTTGGTTAGCAGCCAAGTATGCTAATCTTTTGCACCACTGAGGGACTATTCCATTAATTAAGTGTCTGATTACTACAATGAATTTTCTTGAGCTGATTTGAGATTCTGTTTCTTGCAGCAGTGTGTTCTAAGACAGTATTAACTCAGTTCATCCCTGCCATTTCTTGAAATCCAAGTCTTTTTGCTATAAACATTGTATTTTACTATGTTTGAAAGGTGACATACCCACTTTGAAAATATTTGGAGAAAAAAGGAAAATACTGAAAACATATCTTGCTAGTTAAATTTTCCCATTTTGTCACATGAAGAATATTGTTAAAATATCATGCTCAATCATAAGAAGCAAATATCATTTTGAAATTTAATTATAGCTTGTGCCTATGGTGCAACATAATTAAGATGGTTTTAAATTGTTCTTCGTGAAATGACATAAAAAATTCAGAGAAACCTGCAGACTTCCAGAAGTCATGTTTTACAGGCAGCTTCTAAATGAACAAACTATAAATGTGGAGCTCTGCAATGATTAAAAAAAAAAAGTTTTGACAAATAAAATATCTGTCTACCTACCTACCTACCTGTCTGTCTAGCTAGCTAGCCAGCCTATCTAAGGAGCCCTGGTGGTGCAGGGGTTAAGCACTCAGCTGCTAACTGAAAGGTCCGCAGTTCGAACGCACTTGCAGCTTTGTGGGAGAAAGATGTAGCAGTCTGCTTCTATAAAGATTACAGTTTGGAAACACTATGGGGCAGTTCTACTCTGTCCTATAGGGTAGCTATGAATTGGCATCAACTTGACAGCAGTGGATTTTGTTTGTTTGTTTGACCAAGCTCTCTCTCTCTATATCCATCCATCCATCTATCCCTATCTATCTATCTATATTGACCCTTTCATGCACATTTAGGTAGAAGTCTTAATTTTCAAAACTAATTCTCCTGGCTTTTTCCTTCATTTATTTCTTTTATTTTTCACTCATTTCTTTACTCTTTCATTAAAAAAAAAAATCAATATGTTCATTTGTTTCCCGCTGAGAAATTATCTTAAGAGGACTTCACTGCAGTTTTTACTATGTCCTGGAGTCACTTGGATCTTGACAGTCAAATGGCTTCTAATGGGTGCAAGTAAACTCGAACAGATAAAAAAAATCCCAAACACATCCAATCTCATAAGAATTTACACTTTTGAAACTGCACAGATTTCTGTCATGAATATTACTAAGGTTGGAAGTATTTCAGGTCTGAATCATTGAAAGTATTTTGATTGTATTTCTAACCTAAACCATTAACTACATTTCTCTCCATGTTAAGGAAGATATGACGGCCCTTCACTGCACAGGCACAAAGTTAAAGTCAACATGAGGTATAATTTCATTCAGTGTTAATTCCATGAATCATCTTACTTGTTGGATACCATATTATAATTCTATACAGCCTGAAGATTTTATTTGGAGCAATGTCTTTGGAAGTGAAAAGAACCCTGAGTAAAAGTAGTAGACATTTAAAGACATAGGAAGCCTAACTTTCCATCACCTTTTTTTAAAAAAAAACTTTTCTCATTATATTTGGAAAGTTTTCATGAATTCTTCTTTGATAGAGTACTTGATTATGGAACAAAGAACAGACGTGTTTCTGTGGTCAGTGCTTGGGGTATATGATGTGGCAAAGGAGAGGAAGGCCAAAGCAAAAGTTTTTTTTTTAACAACAGAGCAAAATATTGTTGAAAAATTTAACACTCTGAAGCTTTAAGGGAAGTGCAAACAAGCTAATAATCATTCTGAAGAATGTCATGTCCACCTTACTAAGACTTTCATAATTTCATAGATTTTTGTCAAGCCTCATTTTAACTGTCTTCTTTCTGGGTCAGATATGCCTAATCTTCCTTTTTCTTTTGTGCTGTTAATCGCTCAATAATTTTAGGTAGTCTTAATGCATCTCTTCCTGCTGTAGTAAAACTTTTTAAACACATTTTTTCCTCAAATTTTGCAAATGTTAATGTTCAAAAAAGAATACTTAAATCTCTTAAAAATTTAATTTTGAAAAAATATATAAACAAAAGCTGAATCTACAGCTTTGTTAGCTCACAAATTGGGACCACCACACCAATTAAAGGACAGGAATAGATAGAAGAAAGATTACTAGGTCAAGAGGAAATTTCCGTGGTTTATTGAAAGCACTCTCATTCAGCAGGAAGCCAGCTTGTCTGCATTTTGCAGTCAGAGGAAAACGTGAAAAGTTAGCATAAATCCTTGCGGTGCTAACCACAACATGCAAACCAAACCTTTTGCCGCTGAGTTGATTTCAACTCATAGTGACCTATGTGTGTAGAGTAGAACTGCATTCCGTAGGGTTTTCAAGGCTGTGACCTTTCAGAAGCAAATTGCCAGGTGTATTTTCCAAGGTTCCTCTGGGTGGGTTCAAACCGCCAACCTTTTAGTTAGTAGTCAAGCACTTAATCATTGGTGCCACCCAGGGACTTCTTAACTACAGCAGATTCCTCTGGAGACCACAGGCAGTTCTGCTAGTATACTGCACTTTGTAATCTCAGATTGTCAGGGTAGACCAAATGGTAGACCAAATGGAAGTTTTGCTCCTGGGACAGAGTGGACATACAGAAAAGATTCCCAGGGCCCTCAGGTGGGGGCCTGTGACTAAGGATGAATGGCTCATGTCCCC